GCCTTGAACTCACAAAGATCCGCCTGCCTCTGCCTCCCAAGTGCTGGGATTACAGGCATGAGCCACCATGCCCAGCTGCCCTGATTATTTTAAAAGGAAATGAAACAAAGTTGAAGGGTGCTATGTGTTCTTAAATGGCTTTATTGTAAAACCACTGAGAGAGGAAGCAGTGTCTGTGAACGCTTGGATCTAGACCCTTTGAAACCTAAGAAACTGCAAATGTAAAGACCCTGATGGCTCCAGACCCTTGACTTCCTTGAGAAGCATTAATGCAGGTAGAATACACAGGTGGCATAGAGTAAGTTGGGCTGGGGTTAGAGAAGCAGCTAGGCCTTGGTAGTAGTCTCAATTGACTTCAACTGAGATGTGACACATTGAAGTTTCCAACAGAGACTTGATAGGACTTTTCCACCCTCCACTGTTAACGTTGAGGCAAAGGACAAAGAGAAGCGTATCAACAAGTTATTAAACTGTGACAATGAACTTTTTGTGTCAACTTGATGGGTCACAGCATGCCCAAACATTATTCTTGTGAGAGTGACTTAGGACAGAATTAAATTTGGATTGGTAGCCTCAGTAATGCAAATTGCCTTCCCCAATGCAAGTGGCCCTCATCCCATCCCCTGAAGACCTAATGAAACAAAAAGACTAAGGATGAATGTGCTTTATGTCTGCCTGATTTTGAAATGAGACATTTGGTATTCTCTTGCCTTTGGACTTGGTCTTAGCAGTCTTCCCCCTATTGGCTCCCCACCCAACCCCCTGCCCCCATACCTTTAGACTCAGCCTAAAACTGTATTATTCTTCTCCTGGGTCCATAGCCTGCTAGCTACTGATATTGTGACTTCCCTCCTCTGTAAGTGTATGAGCCAATTCCTTTAATATACAAGGCATATGTAATGGGCATCTCTCTGTATCTCTTATTGGTTATGCTTGTCTGGAAAATCCTGATGTATAGGAACCATAGTGATGGAGAAGGTACAAAACCATCAAGCTTGGACATGTTCACAAGAAGCTGACAGGACTCAATGGTAAAGGGATGGATGTAGGGCATGGGAGAGAAATGGGAGTTGAAGGTGAGCCAAGATTTGACTCAGGGCAACTGAGGATTATGAACAGATGCAAACTGGGTATGGCAGCACAGGCCTTTAATCCCAGCACTCAGGAGACAGAGGCAGATGGATCTCTGTGAGATCAAGGCCAGCCTGGTCTATATAGCATGTTCCAGGCTAGTCAGGGCTATTTAAAAAAAAAAAAAAGTGCAGATATTGGTAATGACAAAGTTTAGAGCAAAGTTTCTTAAACTGTGAATGGTGACCAAAATATGGGGGTAGTGCAAAACTGAATGCGGGGGGCAGGAGGTCATGAACAATTTGGCAACAGCAAAAGATTTCTAAATGCACCATAACAAAATTTTGAAAATCGCACATGTAATGAATTGAAGGTGTTCCTGGAAGTGTTCACCTGTGTTGAATCACAGGACTTTTCCTTCTTGGTTCTGAACTCAGCACTGTGCACGCAGCCATGCAACACTACACCAATGCTGCCTGAAATGTCCCAGCTCAGAGTCAAGACTATGATGTGCTATGCCAAGAGCAGTGTTTTTCCTGTAAATACC